GCTGCCTCTTTCATTTAGAGTAAAATCCAAAGTCTTCTCCAAGACCAGGAGCAGACTTAATTCCTCTAGCAGCAGCATCCTCATTGACTGCCCTCCAGGAACATCAACCTTTACCACCCCAGTGCCATTCACACGGCATGGGCAGCTCTTCCTTTTGCAGGGCGCTGTCTGACTTGCTTCCTAATTCTCCGCAGGTCTCTCTAGGCAGACATAACCCTGCTGAGAGTCTCCCACACTCATAAATCACTCTACCATCCTGGCCTTGCTGTAATTTCCTTTACAGCTCTTATCACAACCTGCTTCTGTCTTCCTACCGTGTAAAAATCCAATAGGGTTAGAACATCCTATGATGTAACATGGTAGGAGCTAAGCTATGTGAGGATAAAATACTAATATGCAAGACTTAGAACTGAGGGAATGCCATTACAAATCCTGTTTCCTGAGTGCCGGCCACTGCAGGGGTTACATTTCATGTATTGTTTCTTTAGCAGTGCTGCCAATTGGGTATATTGGTTGGGCTGCTTTCAGATGCAGGTGGCAGGACTGGGAGGGTAGCTTAGTCCTAGAGTACTTGCCTGGCATGCACAAGGCCCTGGGTTCAATCCCAGCCATGCCCCCTTATCACGGGTATCATACCCAATCAAAAGTAGATTAAGGAAAAAACCTTCAACATCACATAAGAAAGGGTCGAAAAATATAGTGGCTGTAGATTTGACCAATTCTCTACCATCAAAGATGACATCATTTCAATTTGGCTTCTCCCCTTCATGGTTCGGAGATGGCAATTACCATTCCACTTGTCACATCCTTGCTCTCCAGAGGCACTTGAAAAGGAAAGCCATGTGCCTGCTTCTCTTCTTAGTGAGGATTATCTCTCTTGCTTCCTTGTTAGTCAAAATGCACTTAGACATTTTTGCCTAAATCAGCCACTGTCAGAGTGGGAACACCACGCTGTGCCATACACCAGTGACAGTTCAGCCCAGTGAGCTGGGCAGGCTCTACCTCATACCCGGACAAAATGGGGCTCTGTGAATATTAGAGATAACACATGGCAATTAGCTACACAGCCGAAGATGTCCACCACATTATGTATTACTGCCATAATTCTCCTGTTACAGAGGAGAATACTTGGATTAAAGCAACTTGTCTGGCAGAATCAAGATTTAAATCTAAATATGACAGTTTTCAAAGCTACATACCTTCCAACCGGGTGATACCACTTCGCAAATTAAAAGAGTCTCTTAATAGTAATAACAAAATTACAAAAATTTTTATCTGGGCCAGGCATGGTGGCACACACCTATAATCCCAGAACACAGGAGGCTGAGGCAGGAAGATCACCCCAAGTTCAAAGCCAACCTGGGCTACATAGCAAGACCCTATATAAAAAAAAAGAAAAAAAGGAGGACAGAAGGAAGTTAGTTTAGAAGAAAAAAATCTTATCTGGACAAATGGCTGAGAAGATAGAAATTATTTTATAATACGTGTGCTACCCCTCTCCGGGTCTTGAGTTTTATATGTCATTCTTCAATCTCAGAAACCAGGGCTTCTTGGAGAAATGGCTGATTCTTAGCCTGGGACAGGAGAAATATAAGGTGAACCTGGCACATCATATGATGCTAGAAAGTAAGAACTCAGACACAAAAAGATGAGGATATAGAAGCCAACCTGTGCAACCTCCCAGCAGCCAAAACTGAAAGTGTTTGAAGAACAAAATAAATAAATTAGTACTGGGATGTAAGCCACAGAATAAAATAAATACATATGAAGCCATGTGGGTAGAAGTGATCGAATAAATAAGAAAAAGACAAATTTTTCATGCCAAAGAATTCTGAGTATGTGTAGATGCCTCTCATAGGAGATGGAACTTAACTGCTTTCTTCTCCTCCTGCCTTTGCCCGGAGGATGGGCTACACGCAGTGACTTACTTACAAACACTAGAGGAGGAAAAAAAGAAAATAGTAGCTTTGCCCAGGGGGAAGCTTTGCAAATCTGTCTCCAAGTGCATTGATTAAATGTTATCAATCTCTTAATTCTGACCTAGTGACTGAAAATGTTAATGTGAGGGGGAAATGGAGACGGGAACTCTGGATGTTATCTTTGCACCATTTTTGTAAATTTAAAATTATTCCTATATTTAAATTTAAATTTAAATTATTCCTTCATTCAGAAGAAATGTGTGCTAGGTCATTGTTGAAACTGGAGGTCAGCTGTGAAGTGTTCGTTGTCCTCTTCACTCTGCTTTACATTTTTTCAAGGTAACATTCTTTAAAATGTTTAAAAACAAATTAATAAAGTGAAATGAGTCTTCTGCCTTCAAGGTGTTAAGCAAGAGAAAGTGACAGAGTTTCTTGTGCTGCCCCCCGGGACAGTAATGAATGAAGCACATTTTGTTGTCATAGTTAAACAAGCAGTGGGTGCTTCGTGTCACATTCTCCAGCCTTGCTACTCCAGGGATGAGCCGTGGGTCCCTAACTCCGGTAGCATCTGAGTTTGTTAGAAATGCTGTGTAAGGCTGGACTCCAGACCTACTGAACTGGAATCTCCATTTTTAACGTCTCCAGTGAGCAAAATACACTTTAATGTGAAAGAAGCACTGTTTATAATCATAATATTTCTGCAGTTTTGAGCAAATAACATCTAGAAAGTAAATGCTATTAAAATCAATGAAGATGTTCGATTGATGAGTTTACTTCCACAAGAGGACCATAAACTGCTTTCTTTTACCTGTTTCTTAGTAAAACATGATATTTGGTCACAATGATAGAATTCACTTAAGATAACGTGATTATTATACCCTTTCTCTTGGGTATCTAAGATTCCAGGGACAAATGAAAGTAGTAAATACTCCTACCGTGTACGCCTTGTACCAAAGAGACAGGACTAATGATTAGGAGGCCAAACAAGAAATACAAGTTTTATAAATGTTCTCTGGTGATTTGACTGCGGGATCCTGGACCCAGGGACCAAGCCTCCCTTTTGACCATTTTCACGAGAGAAACGCAGACAGAAGCGATCTTCCTCAGCATCAGGTTCCATTTTTTATATCGCATCACTCTGGAAAATACATGAATTTAGTGAGCACAACTTTGGTTAAAGACATTGCTGGCCATTGCTAGGTGGATTCTACAGAAAAAAGAAGGAAGAAGTAATGTATCTGAGCATAAGGTAGAAAATTAGCCATGGTGGTTCGTCTGCCCCGAAGGTTCACCCCAGAGGCCGGGCATGCACTGGAACCCAGAGTTTCTTTTTAGAATGGGGAGACAAGAACACGTACTGATGAGGAAGAAAGAGGGTGAGGGGTCCACAGGAAGAATGGGACCCGTAAAGCATGTGAAGGATGTGAACAGGACTGAAATTTTAGAGAAAGCCGTGATGCACTGACTAGGACATAGTGGATCCATGTGATTGGTCATGCAGATGGGAAAAGGCAAGCAAGACAGAAAATTCAAATCAAAGATTCGATGAGCAGTGCAGAAATGGAAGGTGGAGATGTGACAGCAATAAATACAGTTATTTCAGTCTGGGATTGCACAAGAGAGGAGTATGGAGCAGTAGATTAATTGTCAATAGAAACAAGGGAAGGGTCTTTCTATTCAGGATGAGAACTTGAATGGCTTTAGCCACTAGAAAGGAAAAAAAAAATGTTTGATAATGGAGAAGCAAGATGAAAAGTTGGTGGAAGGACCAAGGTTCTAGACAATGTAAGTGTGGGAGGATGGATGGAAGAGCTGAAAGCAGAGCACAGAGATCAGCAGTTAACCTCGGAGAGGAATCGGGACTCTTCTCAGCTGGGGGAAAGGGCAAGAAGAAGATGGCTGGAGATGCACTGTCAGATAAAGTGTGAGGCCATCGCCTAGGAATGAGCAGGCCCAGGGATGCGGTCGGTGTGACAAGGTTCTGAAGCCTGGGAAGCCATGGCAGGGATATAAGAGGAGACAAAGCCACGGCGACTATTCTTTGTAGCCTGAATGAACGCACTTTTGCAGATCAGAAGGAGCTAACAGATGGGATGCCTGGCAACAGGTGCCACCTGCACTGTTCGGGGCAGATGCATCCTATGGTCACCTAGCAGGAGCCGCGCTGCTGTGCAGGGAGGGTGCGAGCATCTGTGGAGAGCAGCTGTGGTCTGCGTGTGGAGTGCATTCGGTCACTGCGGCCTTCTCCAGCAATGTTGCCGGCACAGGCTGGCTGTCAGTGGAACAGTGATCCGCGTTGTGTGAGGCAGGAGTATCAGAGGTCAGGAAAGTGAAGGCTCCCTGGCTGTCACTGACATTGCTAGAGCGACTGGCAGGAGTACCCCGGTCTGCAGTAACTAATATTGTCCTGTTCCCATGGGGCGATTGGCCAAGTGGATCCTGTTAGAAAGCGCTGGCTTAGAGTAAGTCAGTGTATGGCAGATGAATGAAGCCAGCAGGAGATTCATGGACAATAAAGAAATCGCAGCAAAATTCAGAAAGCAAGACGAGTTTGTTGAGGGTAAGCGTAACGAACTAGTTAGAGGAGTACCGCGTTACGGTAAAGCCCAGGTTGTGACGGTGCCGCTGAGGAACCAAAGAAAAGACTTGGTGGGACTGAGGACCGAGAGGTACCGAGAAGTCAGAATATGGGCAGGGGAGCGTGCGTGTGCGTGTGTGTGTGTGTGTGTGCGTGTGTGCGTATGATAGGGATGGTGGGAGTTGGCAGGGAGTCTCATCTCACACTAAAAGCTTCATGGAAAAGTGAGTGAATCTCAGACAACATGAGATGAACACCATCAGAGGATGACTAACATTTCACAAGACGGATTGTTTTGATGTGTTTTGTTTCGTTTTGTTTATTAAGACACTAGTCATTTCTGGAGGACGCAGCATAGACCGAGGAGAATGTAGATATTTCCCATTGGCCCTGGTTGTTGAGCAAGGGCAAAAGAGAAATTATAATTTGTTTCTTTTTGGCAAAGGATGGTAGTAGCAGTTAAGTTTCTGTTTTTATTTATTTATTTATATTTTATTTTACAGATCTGCTTTACCTTTGGAAATGGACTTCACTTAGAGGTAAGGAACCAAGGGGATCATTTCCATGTTTTGGATTTAGAGGTTTAATCTCGTGGTGCACAGTTTAGCAATACCTTTCCCATTCAGTGGCTGCAGAGGAGCTCATATCCCAGAATGCATTTTACCGGAAAAAGAACTTTGCCTGCGTGCACACACGTGCACCTGTGTAGTCAGAAAAGATCATCAAGTTGTTAACTGTGACCGCTCTGTGAAAAACAGGTGAATAGAAGATTTGCATTTTTATGTCATAGGTTTTACTATTATCATTTGTAATGTTTTGTCATTTAATGTATATTTCTAAGTTAAGAAAAAATATTTAAATACAAACAAAGAATATCAGTGACTTAATGATACCTAGTGCATATTCTTTAAAAATTTTAAAATCCGTATTTGTGTGTGGTAACAACATGAGCAAAATGGTAAGATAAACGTAGTACAATAACCCTTCCTGATCTTGTGGAAAGGTCACCTGTATTGAAATTTTCTTTGGATAAAATGTATTCTTACCTATAAAACTCAAGTGAAAATTTACAGCATAGTTTTCCACCTAAAGTTTCAAGGGGAAATTTCATACTTTACTCAGTCCTGAGAATAGTAAACTCATTAACTGGCAGTTGACCCTTTTGGTTAGATTTATTTCTTCAGTTTATCAAAATTTAGTCTTAAAACATATAGAGTTTTTTGTTTTATTTTGTTTTGTTTTGTTTTGTTTTGTTTTTGTGGTTATGGGGATTGAACCCAAGGCCTTTGCAACGGGGTGCGTCTCCAGCCCTCTTTACTTTTTTATTTTCAGACAGGGTCTTGCTAAGACCCTGAGTTGCCTAGGCAGGGCTCAAACTTGTGATCTCAGCTTCCCAGAGTGCTTGGATTACAGGTATATGCTTGGGTTACAGGCATATGCCACCATGCCAAAATTAGTAATTTATTTTTTTACTATAAATGATTACAGAGATGTAAAATGTCATCTTCAGCAAGTAATAGAAAGATGTCTTACATAGTTTGTTATTTCTAATTTGCTAGTTTATATGGCCACTACATAACTCTTCCGCCTTTTGTACTCTTCACTCTGGGAAATCTTTTCTTTCTGTGAAAAACAAAGCCCTCCTGCTTTACTGATCTGGATGCAGTCTCTTGGATGCTTACAAAGTTGGCCTGTATATACATGTCCTCTTTGAAAATGAAGCTTGTCCAGAAGTATGAAACATGTCTTAAAGTTACACTGTTTTTAAAGGTTAGTAAATTGCAGAATATCGTATGAAGCTTTATAACGCATAATAAGTTTTTGGTGATATTTCGTTGTCATAGGTCTTAAACACAAGAAGCGAAAGCAAGCTGCTTCCCAAGCACACTCACCTGGTTCGGCAGAAGCGAGCCTGGATCACTGCCCCGGTGGCTCTTCGGGAGGGAGAGGATCTGTCCAGGAAGAACCCCATTGCCAAGGTACCTTCTCAGCAGGGACACGAGCGGAAAGCAAGTGGCTAAAGCTGTGCTTAAAGAGGACTTTGATGTCCATTTTAAAATTAAAGGATGATGGTATAATCACTGATTTGTTTTTATCTTTATATTTAGGGTGCAATTGAAGAAGTTTAGCAGAGCTTACTTTAAAATCTTCACTCCTATTCTGGAAGATACCGCATTATTACCAAAAATGCGTATAACTTTAAGTTTTGATTCAGTTTGGAACTAAGGGATGTGGCATTAGTTTGGTCTTAGTTTAACCCAGAATGTTACAATAATCAAGAGTGTATTATCATTAAAAAGTAGTTTTCGAAATGGAAAGAACTCACACCTAAGAGGTAGGGTGACCAGACGTCCATATTTGCTCGGGACAGTTAATTTGTGCCTGTCGTCCTGGCTCAATAACTTAATAGCTCCACCTTTATTCTCAGAAGTCAGGTTTATTCATTGATGACATGATAGTCCCAGTACCGTGTATCTCAAGATTTCAAGTACAAACCTAAACCTTGATTCCCCCGCTCAAAGCTTCCACTTAAGTTCTGCCCATTTCTATAAATGGCACTATCATGCTATTCAGTTTTTCAAACCAAAAATGTAGCCAGAACTTCGGGTTCTGTTCCCAACTGCCCACTTCCATTCCTCTGCGCCGCTACTCCCACCGTCCAGCGCCTCACCTCCTGCCACCACAGCAGCGGAGCTCCCCCTGCCTCCTGCCTTCAGGCTTTCCCAGCCCACCCCAATGGGGTCCGTTCCCAGAAATGACCTGGAGCAAACTTGCGAAAAGACAACTGATGCGTGTACCTTCCTCCCCCGCACTGAGGCCCCTGAGGAGCGCCCCAGTGCGGCAGGAGAAAGAGACCCTTCCCCTGGTCTAGGAGAGCCCATGGGACTCGATGCCTTGGCCTCCTCTCCATCTCAGTGCCTGTCACTTCCCGTCGCCTGCTCCACGGTGACCCCAGACTGGCACAGCTCAGTGCAGCCTCCTTCCCTTGGCATTGCTGTTCCCCCACCTGAAGCTGTTCCCCAGAGATACTCGGGGCATCGTCTGGCTTCTGCTCAAGTGTCAGCTGCTCCTCACCCTATTTCTCTCTGTCCTCTTTGCCTCTGTGGGGTATCCCCCATGGCTCGCCCCTTGTCTGGCTCCATCAGTGCAACATGTGCTCCATGAGGCCCCCAGCCGCCTCCTCGGGGTGCGCAGGTCCTGCCCGCACAAAGCTCGTTTGCGGCAGGTGCTCATACGCCTTTGGGTCACATGCTCTCTGTCACATCCTAGCTTACCTTCTCCTTCCAGTCTTAGAAAGGTCAAGTGTGAGGGGCTCCAGTGAGAGAAGCAGCCGCTACAGAATAGAAGACACATACTGCTTTTATAAAATCCACCTAAAGTTCAGACTCCTTAAGTGTGGATTCACATAATAGTACATATACAAGCTGCTGAGGTTTTGGTTTTGTTTTGGCTTGGTTGTTTCAGATCCCAGGCATTCACACCATCTTTTAATAGAGGTCCCTAAAATGTATGGATTCTTAATGGTGTAAGAAGTGTTGGCTGATCTTAACTGCTTTGAATTATATAGGCTAAGAGTAAAATTTAAATAAAAAACAAAAAAATCTTGTTAAATTTTTCCCTAAGCTTTCCAATTTCCTACCTAAAATTAACACTGGCTACAGGTTAGCATTTTTCCAAACCTTACAAAATACATATGTGTATATATATGTGTGTGTACTCTTGCCTGCATACATATATGTATATGAACTACCAGTTCTGTCCACACCATTTTTGTTTTCTAAGTAGGATTACATAGTCAGTGCACAAAGACATGGGATGCCCCTATAAATACTGTCTATATGTGAATATACAGATCCATGCAGGTGCCTGTATGCCGTGCACTTGGCAGGAAGGGCGGGCCGGCCAGGTGGAGGTGCTGCGGAGCCACTACCCGAGTTCCTGGCCACACTCAGGAGCGGGGCTGGGGGTTGGAGGCTGGAGAACCCCTCTGCTGTTCCCTGGTTGCTCAATGATATTTGAAGAAGAAATGGAGAACCAGTAGGGGGCCCCAGAGAGAAATTTACCAATGAAGAATGAGAGATGTGAATAAATTATGTTTATAGAGAAGAAGGGTGATAATTTCAGAAGACCCAGCAAGTGAGAAACACTACTGATTTGCACATCTTCCCAGGCAGGGAAGTAGCCTGACTATTTAAATCCTTCTCTGGAAGATGCTTTGTTCATACTGTTACAGGGGTGATATTAGAACCTCCAAGTGCAATATAAGGGGAATATTATAACTCCCAACCTGAAAGGTGTCTGATACACTGAGTTCGTGCTCTCTAAAAATCAAAGAAAGAATTCTAGGAACACCAGAGGTTAAGAGCGGGAAGATATTTCATGAGAGGACAGAAAGAGGATTGTCAGAGGAACAGGAGGGGGCCCGAATGGGTTGCCCCAGGACCCCACTTTACAGGGAAGTTTTATAGAGCATTGCCCACCTGGGTACAATGTGAGTTACAGCTATGACGAACCAATAAGGATACAAATATAGTCGGTTAGGTCCTAGTGATCCAGTAGGGAAACAAGTCACGTAACAAGGGTGCAGGGAAAGAACGAAGACTTCTAGGAAATGATGAGTCCGGAGGTCTGGGTCACCCATTAGGTGACTGGTGTCTGTCTGGGCTTAAGTAGGCCTGGTGTTTGACCTTGGAGGAAGTATACAGTCCTGGTCGTTTCGTCTTTATCTTGAGAGCTGGTCTCTAACAGATGTGTCTCTAGCCACAGCTGAGATGTATTTCACCTCTGTCTTGGCCCTCTTGAGGACCCAGCCCTACCTGACTGCCTATATTTCTACCTAGCTTAGCTCTCTGTAATAATGCTTTCCAGATGATTATATGAGTTTATAAAGATGATTTTGTCTTTATAATTTCCACCACATGTGCAACATGTAAGAGCAACCCCATCTCGAAGATGAACTCCAGTTACCTCTCAATTTCACCATAACCCTCACAGGGAAGCGGCATCATCTTCCCTGCCTTCCATGTAAGGAAGCAGCAGGGAGGGAGGTTGAGCGGCTGACTCAGAACTCACCCGCAGGGTGTGGTGTGACAGGATGAGAGCCCAGGTTCCCTATCACCAGCACAGGCCTTGTGCCACCTCCCCGCTACCAGCATGTGACGACTTCCGAAGGAAATTGTCCATTAAAAATATTTACATGTCAAGTATCAAGAATTTAACCCCTTCTGTGTTTCTTTATGTTAGATACATTCTGATCTGGCAGAAGAAAGAGGAGTGAAAATCACATACAAATACACTGGGACAGGGATTACAGAGCCTCCTTTTGGTGTATTTGTCTTTAATAAAGACACTGGAGATTTGAATGTTACCAGCATTCTTGATCGGGAAGAAACACCATTTTTTCTGGTAAAGTTTTACATTTATTTGTCATTTCTCCTTAGTAATGCTTATGGATTTTTATACTACAGCAGTTCAGTTATTCTTAGTTTAAAATAAATCTTATTTATTGTCTATGTCATGATTTCAGCTCACAGGTTACGCTATGGATTCAAGAGGAAACAATCTGGAAAAGCCGTTAGAACTGCGCATTAAGGTTCTAGATATCAACGACAATGAGCCTGTGTTCACGGAGGAAGTCTTTGTTGGATCCATTGAAGAACTGAGTGCTGCACGTAAGAGTCTTGTCTTCTTATGAATGAATAGCCAAGGTCCTTTTACCCCCATTGTGTACGTCCAGTTTGTCCTGTTGAGTATTAACTTGCAGACAAATAATAATGAACCTATTGCTATAGAATCACAACTGCTTTTCTCGTAAGTTCAAATGACTTTAAAGATCATCTTTCTCACCCTCAGAAAAGATGGTGGATTGATGTGACAGGTGCGTCTCCATAGCAACTACCCCGTGGAAGAAAGGCAGTCACAGAGGCTATATAAATAAGTGGGGGTGGCTGTGTTCCAACAGAACTTCACTTACTAAAACAAGTGGCTGGCTGTTGGTCACTAGGTATAATTACTGACCTCTGACTTGTATTACTTCTACTGTAACCTATTGACATTATTCAATGCATTGCTGTTTATAGGGCTTGAAGTAGGATTTCTTTTTGATCAACATAAAGAGTAACTGTACTTCTGGTTTGTCTTTAATTTTAATGAATATCAGAGCCCTGCATTGGCTCATCCATATATCTGTGCATTCGCTACTAGAACAGTTTTGTGAGGCTTCTGGAGCAATTTTGCAGGACTCCACCCCGATCTCAGCCTTGCCTCCTCCTCTACTCCATTCACACAAACTTCCTCATCCAGCTAAATTTTTGATCATGGTAAAATAGTGCATAATTTTGTTAAGTACCCAAAATCCTTTTGGGAACAGCTGAAATTATACATCAAATAATAAGTTATATAAGTGTACTTACCTTAGACCCCTCTTTTTTCTAATGCCAGATACACTTGTGATGAAAATCACAGCAACAGATGCAGATGAGCCCAACACTATGAATTCTAAAATTTCCTACAGAATTGTCTCTCAGGAGCCTGCATATCCTCCAGTGTTCTATCTAAATAAAGATACAGGAGAGATTTATACAACCAGTATTACCTTGGACAGAGAGGTAAGTTAATGTTTCATGTCACCCGTCTTTTACCCTCCTTACTATCCTCTCTCGTTCCTTCTCTATTACTCTTTTCTAAATTTCTTTTGTTCTGTATTTCTCATCCCTAGTATAACTCTAAGAACTGTCCTCCTTTAGAAAGGATTTTGGAGCTGGGGATATAGCTCAGTGGCTCAGCACCTGCCTGGGAAGCACAAGGCCCTGAGTTCAATTCTTGGTACCCAGGGGAAAAAAAAAGATTTAGAAAAAATATGTAATGCCCACTATGGTAGCGTTTAGTCATGACCGCATCTGAACTGAGATGTGCTGTGTGCATGTTGAGCTGTTTAACAGAGACACTGGATCTGGAAGGGTTAGCATAAAGATATAGAATTTCATCTTCATTCTGTATGTCGATTATCTCTTGAAATGATAATATTGTATATCATTCAGTAAGTAAAATATACTTGTTTAAAATTGATGTTACTTATTTCCTTTTACTTTTTAGAGAGTCGCTATTCAAAACTTTTAAATTACATAAAGACAGTACCATTTTTGTCCTTCTACACTTAGTGTTCTGTTTACTAAGTGTCCTAAAGCAACGCTCCTCAGTTTGTGGTTTTCTGGGGAGACATCGGGAGTGTCTTCCACCTCTAAGCCATAGACAAGGAGCAGGTGGTGCTGGTGGCAGTCATGGTGGTGAGAGGGAGTAGGGGGCGGGGACAGGGGCAGGGTAATAATTCAGGTGTAAAAACTCTTATAGAGGAAAAATGGTTTTAAAACTGACATTTAAAAAAAATTGGGTGGGTTTCCTGGATTGTTCTCCCAAACATTTCACTGTTTTAGTTCAAATTCAAAATTTTAAAATAAAACAGGCGATAGAAGATTTTTTTAATGCTACCTACTTGTGTGTGCAAGAATAAAATGTTGATTCTCCCATACAGTACTGTCATAAATACAAATCATCATTCACGTGCATTGCAGCTTACTTGGAAAATGCACTCTGCTCAGATGGGAAGGATTCTGTTTGAGTTCCATCAAAATTAAGAATATGATCTGTTACTCCTACAATTCTACTCTACAACTTTTCACATAAAATGAGAATGGGAAAGTCAGCAGTGTGATTTTTAACAAGGGTCCGTCTCTGAAGAGTGGGAAATTTACCCAGTAATAACAGTTGTCACTTTCTGTGCATTTCCCACATCCCAGGTGCCATCCTAAGCCCCTTACATGGATTAACTCACTTAATCCACATAGAAGCCCTGTGAGCAGATCCAGTGATTATCCCCATCTTACATGTAAGGAAACCAGGGGCCAAAGGGATTACGTGTGTCTCCAGCATGGCTTGTGAGTTGCAAAGCCACCAGGATTGGAGCCGGCCAGCTGGCCCCAGGGCCCCAGCCATCCTCTGTGTGCTAGGAGGCCCTGCCACACCCACGCTTCCCACAAACTGGCCACTCAGCTCCTTAAAGTCCAGTCACCTGGAATACAGCTGTAGTAAAAGGACCATACAGAAAAGAAGGGCTCACTTTGGAGTAACATTATTGATATCCTAGAGACAGCCATTCTGTAGGGCACATTCCCTAAGAGTCCTGACTCCAAGGATGTCTGGACAAATTGCCTTCACTGGCCCAGATTTCTTAGGACTAGGTTTTTCTTGCTTAGCATTTAGCTGAGGGCAAAATGTGGGACAGAAATAAATTCCTACAGTCCTGCCATCACATCCAACATAAAACACACTGCACTTCGAACGGCACTTCTTTGTGCAGACAGTTTTAAGGAGAGCCATCTCCTGCAAATAACAGCAATGACAAATTTTAAGAATTTGTCAAAACTCCCTGAGGTTTTTTTCTGCCCATCTGCAAAGCTCGGACTGTCAATAAATAGCATCTTTATACCTAAGACAGTAGGTCATGGAGGTTATTTATGACTAAAACATATTATGGTCCACTTTCTAATACTAAGGTGAACTAAAATCAGAAAGACAGATTTGGGAAAGATTCATTTTCACCCCAGTGGATTTTGTCCTTGCTCTGCAGGAACACAGCAGCTATTCTTTAACCGTGGAAGCAAGAGATGGCGATGGACAAATAACAGACAAACCAGTACACCAAGCCCAAGTTCAGATTCGTATCCTGGATGTCAATGACAATATACCTGTAGTGGCAAATGACGCGGTAACTTGCTTTTATGATAACTAGATCTACTTACTCATACCTGAAATCTGCATTACATGAGCATATTCTTAAAAACCATGTGCTCATATTTTGCAGTACGAAGGGACGGTTGAAGAAAACCAAGTCAATGTAGAAGTTATGCGCATAAAAGTGACGGATGCAGATGAAGTAGGCTCTGATAATTGGCTGGCGAATTTTACGTTCGCATCAGGAAATGAAGGGGGTTATTTCCACATAGAAACTGATGCTCAAACTAATGAGGGGATTGTGACCCTCGTTAAGGTAAGTCACAACTCTTCCAGATAGGTGGGACAGGTTGCTGCCAGAGGGGAGCTAACAGATTTTGAACCCAAACATAAATGTTTTACATGCACAACCAGGACTATAATTGTTTGAGATATGGGCCCTCTGTTTGTTTAGTAAGTACTCACACTGTAGGTTAAATTTAGATCATGGAACTCAGAGCCTAGCCAGTCATCATGGTACCAGTGTCATTGCTTAGTACACTTCCAGTCTTGCTTGCTGCCTGTACCTGACCGGAGTATTCGCATATCATGACCTTGTACTCTGTTGAGTATCCTTTACTTATGGTGCTTCTGCGTCTGCTTAACACTAATGCTAAACACCACTAATAGCATCTAAAAATTGAAGCTGTGATAAGTCGATATTAAAGGGTGCCTAAGAATTACCCACTAAAGCTTTATGCCAAAAATACAGATTTCTGAGCCCTGTCACCAAGAAGTCTAGGTTTGACTCAGGAGCTTGCCTTTTAGGTAAATATCCATCTGTGATTCTAATATAAATGGTGTGAGGGCTGCATTTTAGAACAAAGTAGTATAATCTTGTTTGTCATTGAATCAATGAAGAAAAATTTGGATTAAATGAAGTATACGTTTCTTATACGTTTAAATCTTAACAACTCCCACAGAACTTTTTAAACAAAAATTACAAGGTAATTGCCTTACCAAATTTGAAAATAAAATGGAAAGCTACAGCTTTCAAAATAGTACCTCTTTAAATTATATACGGACAAAAAAAGTGATTCTAACAATTACCAAAGTTTTACAATTTATGAAAGTCTAACAGTGAGAAGGAAAATGTATAACAGAAAAGGAAATAATTACCTTGAAGTTTCATAGTAATAATTTTAAGCATCACTTATTGATGGGCTACTATATTCATTTAAACTATTGTGAGGGAAATTGAATAATTTTACCTCAAGGAAGACACATTTTATAATTATTGAAAAAATGGAAAATGTCATCAGAGACAAAATAATTCATCTGCTTATACAGAAATAGGTGTAATTTGTAATCATCAGTCTGGGCAAAACCTTGTCAGATGTTTGAGTGCCGGTGACGTGCATGAGAAGAAACAGCCGTGCAATGATGAACGATAGAGGTGCTGAAAGCATTGTTCAGTCATCTATGACAAGACACAAAGAAAGGAATATAGTCATTTCTACCAAGGGTAGCATGGATGAGAAATAGTAGAATTAGCATTACAGTGAACACAACAGATTTTAAAAATGTCTAGGTTATATAAAGAAGTGCTTCCAAATTTTAAGGGCAATGATCAGATGTCACTGAAAAGAAGTTAGATAAAGAAGTTACAGAAACTAAATGTGACAAATGCCCAATGCCATTTGTCAGTAGAGAAAGGTTAATATAAAACCATAAAAACGACCACCATATACATACAAAGATGGTTAAAATCTGTCTTGCTCTGTTTGGGGCGCTGTAATAAGATACCACGAACTGTGTACCTCATAAACAACAGGAATGTATTCCTTACAGCTCTTGAGGCCTGGAAGTCCACGACCTAAGCAGGTTCAGTGAGAGCCATTTTCGGGCTCATACTCAGTGGCTTCATTCTGTGTTCTCACACAGCACCTGATGCCGGTGGGGTCCAGAGGCCACTTTTGGAGGAGTATCGATTCCATTCTGAGGGCTGACAGCTCCCAAAGGCCTCTTTGCTCAAGATCATCATTTTGGGGGTTGAGATTTGAGGACGTGAATTTTATAGGAATACAAGCATTCAATCCAGGACAGTCAAAAAGATTGACACCACCTAGTATTGGCAAGAGTATAAAGAAACTGAGACCTTTCTGTAGGGCTGCGGAAATAAAACATCACATAGCCAGTTTGGCAGAATTTTTTAAAAATTTAAACGTAGCGTAGTTACCCTATGACCCAGAAATCATATCCATAAGTATTCACCCAAGTAAAATAAAAACATATATACGTGAAGACTTACAACAAATGTTCATAGCTGCGTTATCCATAATAGTGAAAATCTGGTAGCAGATGTCTGTGAACCCATAAGTGCAGTAGATAAAATGGTCATCACAACAGAATACTACTGAACAATAAAAAGGGATGGGGTATTGACAGTATGCTACAATGTAGATCGACTTCAGAAACATTTATGCTGTGTGGAAGAAGCTAGATATAAAATTCTGTGTATTATAGGACTGCATTTATGGAAAGATTCTAAAAAAAAAGACAAAACAATGGAGATAGAAAACAGGTCAGTGGTTGGTTGGGGCTGGAAATGTGAGGGAGGTTGACCACAAATTTGCACAGAGGAACTTTTCGGAATGATGGATGTATTTGAAACTGGGCTGTCGTCAGGATTGCAAACATTAGGTCATCGTGCTGTAAACATGACATAGGTGGTTTTTATTGTGTGTGAATTGTATCTCAGCAAAGCTCTCAAAATAAGATAAAGGAGATGAGCAGAGGTTGTAAAATACAGTAATGGGGACAGTAAGTCATCACAAGAGAAAAATCCATTGCTTTGCTGACAAATTAACACATTTAATGCTATTCTTTCTAATGCTGTTGAAAATAGCAAATATGGAAATGGTAAAAAACATTAATAGAGTTATAAAAAGGGGCAGTATTTGTCCTCATATCATGTTCCTGATGCTGAAAGATTTCCCTACTGTCTGGAGCATTGTGGTTATTGATGACAAGCACTGAAACAGTATTTATGGCCCCAGAAACTAGCTTTTTCACATTGTCTTTACCTTTGAATGCTAGTGAGAGCTAGCAGGGAGATTTTATTCCTCATCCAGTTAACATAGCAGCATCAAAACAGATGTGCCAGCTACAAGAACATTTGGGGGGGTACTGGGAATTGAACTCAGGACCTTGCCCTTACCAGGCAGGCACTATACCACTGAACTACATCCCCAGCCCGTGCAAGAACGGTTTAAAAGCACTTTCACCAAGATTTTACAATCACAAAGGATTTAATTTGTCTAACTGTTCTGTTGTGTCCTGATCTCAACACCTCAGTGATCCATATTTAAAGGAGGCAGAAGAAATGGTTGTGGGTGCAGAACTTGACCCAGAGAACAGCAGAATCCGTAGTAAATCATTCCCGAGACAAGTGAAGAGCTTTGCTAGAATTCATGTAAACACATGTAATGTATTTAATCTTATGCTGAACAAACAAGCAAAAATGACCTGTCCATCTAAATAGTCAGAGACACTAGTATTAAAAAGCAATAGAAGAATAGTACCAGATACTAAACTTTGACTAGGTGATTGTTTCACGAATAGGATATAGGTCAACAGAGGAAAACTAAGCTGTATAAAAACATTCAGAGCGTATTTAAAAATTGCAAATAACCCAAATGCTTAGCAACAGAATGGCTAAGTAAATTAATTATATGTAAATATAAATTATTATAGAAATTCTTATAAAAGAAAATGGAAGAATTGAAACTAAAATATGTGTACAGTGATAATTGGCTTGTATCAAATAGGCGTGATAAATACCACAATTTGCAAAAAAGCTATTTTAAAAGAACCTAGTCTCTTAATGAATGAACAGCAAAACATATTTTAATAAATACCTGCTACAGAAGGAAGGACTAGGTTTTTTGTTTAAATACATTTGAAAATCCCTGGGTTTTTTCTTTACTACAGAAATTCTCAGTTTTTCGATATGTTAATGTACAGGGTAAATCTATTTAAGGACACAGAGGTGGCAATGCAAATCCATGGAACACATTTTAAGGAATACTAATTTTTATTGAATGTTCATTAATGTTCCCATTCCACTTTGGCATGCTAAGATAAAAATGCATGCTTTTGCAAATAATTTTGACCTTTAGAAAAATAAATTGGGAATTCTCTTTAAGCATCCTTAACATTTATGAATATCTAAGTTATTGGCAGAGCATTTTTAATTACTTGGTATCAATAAGAATTGGAATAACCACACATCAAGTTATTGTATTTAACATTAAAAGCGTGTGTGTGTGTGCGCGCGTGCATGCACACACTCTATGTTGTAGTGATTTTCTCTGTTAAAAAGATTCCTCTTTGATTTTGCCTTTCCAGGAAGTAGATTATGAAACCATGAAGAATCTTGACTTCAGTATTATTGTCACTAATAAAGCAGCTTTTCACAAATCAATTAGGAATAAGTATAAACCTACACCCGTTCCTATCAAAGTAAAGGTGAAAAATGTGAAAGAAGGCATTCATTTCAAAAGCAGCACAATTTCAGTTCGTGCTAGCGAAGGAATGGATCTGTCAAGCCAAGGCCTATCAATTGCAAAATTTCAAGTTTTTGATGAAGACACTGGACAACCTGCTGATGTAAAGTAAGAAAATATTACAAATATACTTCCTCATTTTAAATTACTTTAAGTACCTATTTTCAAAATTAATAGTGAGACTTCAGCACCTTATTTCTTCACACGCCAACAGTGTAGTTCACCAAAGTTCTATAGATTAAATTTCCCAAAGGTATGCCTGAGAATGCAAGATGAGGCGGGATTTTCCAGAACCTTCTTCCTTCAGCAGCCTGTGTTTGGGGATGAGGCGAGGCTCCTTGCCACAGAAACAGTTGTGGCTAGAGTGAGCTGAAAAGCAGAAAAGGGGAAGTTTTGAGGGAAAAGAAAACCAACTCTCCAAAGTCTGTCTTATTTGTTAAGAATACTGGAAAGCAGAAAGAAGCAGATCAAGTTTGCCACAAATTCTACTTTACATAAGCTTGGTTAAAAGCAGTAGTTCTCTCATGTAATTTACTATGGAAAAACGAATTCTATTCACAAATAAAACTTGAGAACTAATCTTCATTTTAAACCATGCTTTTTGGTTCAGGGATGGATGATTTTTTAAAAAATGGTCTTCTTGATTATTTAATCAAGCTCATTTAATGGTCTTGATCATTTCTTGATCATGGAGACCTTTACTACACTTATCAAATACCTGAAGGGACTGGGTTGTTTCCTGTGTGCATTCCGTAGAGACCCCTCAAATTTGCGTGGTCGTTTCACATTTTCAAAGTAAACTCCTTAGCCCTGAGAGCTATGCCATGGAAAGATTGCTCTCTACAAAATAATTATTTATGGAGTTGCAGTTACTTGGCTTGAATTTGAGGAAGTCCCACCTGCTGCCCACACAGTTTTTGTGACTTCTGCTCCATGCTACGGCTGCACGCTTGTTTGTCCTTACACGTGTGTCCCTGTATGCCAGCACGCATAAACCATTGCTTTTAGAAGCATGGACAACTAGGGCAAAAATAAGGAGAACATTCTTTAACAATCTCTTTCTTTTGAGTGAACCTCTTTTAAATGGAACTCATCAGCCATAGATTCAAATAACCTTTTCCCAAAATAATAAAACAAACATCTCCCAGAGTTTTTCAGAGTATTGGGTTACCATCTTTGGCCCGCTCTCCCTGCAGGAGAGCCAGCCTCCTTGAAATAAGTGGTTTAGTTTTTGGCTTTTGTTTTTTGAGTTTTTAAAAAGCTCATTAAAACCATCTTATGGCTTTTGTTAAGCTGTGGTGGGGTATAATATCCCGCAGAATTAATTGTCATAGATTTTGTATGTTTATTAGTACAAGTTTGCTGTACACAGTGATTACCTTCATCATGGGGAGTTGGTACTCTGACCCAACAAGGTAGTCCCTCACAGAGCCACAGAGCTAAGGGTTTGCTGTGAGGTTCTACATGATGATTTCTCATGCTGGCCACTGAGAAGTTTGTATCTTCCGATGACTCATCAACCAATAGGTGGCTACCTACTGAAAATTGTTTCCTACCAATGTTTAAGTTTTGACTGCTATTTTTATTAGTTACTGTGAATGTATTTTTAAAAATGTGTGTTCTCAGCCTGGCGTGGTGGCACAAGCCTGTAATCCCAGCACTCGGGAGGCTGAGGCAGGAGCATCATTGCAAGTTCAAGACCAGCCTGGGCCACAAAGTAGCCAGCCTGAACTGCATAGCGAGACCCTGTCTCAAAAAGACCAAAAAAAAAGTGTTCTCGCTGGAAAAATGATGAAGCATACATGCTTTTTTAGCACACATTTACAGGCCCTTAGAATAAAAGAAAAGTGCTGGCAAGGTTTTAGGGAAAAAGGAACTGTTCTTCATTGTTGGTGGGAATATAGAGTAGTACAACCACTATGGAAATCAGTCTGGAAGTCCCTCAAAACAGTAAAAACAGAAATGCCATCTGACTCAGCTATTCCTCTTATAGGTATCATCCCTAAAGAATTAGAGACATCGTATTACAGTGATACACACGTACCCACGCATATATCAGCACAACTCATAATACTGTAGCTAAATCCTGGACTCCTATAGGCCCATCGACAGATGACTGAATAAAGAAAATGTGGTATATTACACAATAGAGTACTACTATGCCGTAAAGATGGATAAATTTGAGTCATTTATAGGAAAACGAATGCACCTTAACACTATAATACTCAGTGAGAGAAGTCAGACACAGAAGGCTAAATGTTGCAGGATTTCTCTTATATGAAAAGCCCAAAATGTGAATAATTTCAAGAGCAAAATAAAAAATAGGTGATAGGACACTGGGAGGTAGACTTTGTGGAGATGGGAAAGGGATCTGGAGATTGGGAGAGATGGGAAAGTGAAGAAAAAAGGAATAAAAATGATTAAGATAAAATATGTATATGTACACCAGTTCCCCAGGTTGAATGTAATTTTTATGTATCACAACATATGCTGATAAAGAGAAACCTTAAAAAACAAATAAAAAAGAATGAAACATCGGTTCCCGGTACCGGAGAAAAACCAAAAAAAAAAAAAAAAAAAAAAAAGAATGAAACAGATCTTAAAAATCAATTCAAAGCTATCATTTTGGGAGGTACAGCCAAATTAAATTTTTTATTTCCTAATATTCATTTAATCTGTAGTTACTATTTTGAGATTTTTTTTTTTTTTTTTTTTTGAGACAAGGGCTCGCTATGCAGTTCAGGCTGCCCTTGAGCTCACTTTGTAGCCCAGGCTGGTCTCAAACTTGTAACAATCCTCCTGCCTCAGCTTCCTGAGTGCTGGGATTACAGGCGTGTGCCACCATCCCCAGCTTATTTTGAAATCTTAATAAAGGCAAAAAACTCTTTCCCTCACCTATGTCATAATTTTCTATTTCACTGATTATTCATCATTATCAGTTGTTTATGGATATTTGCTACTATGTGTGAGCTGAAAGCTAAATACTTGGTTTTTTTTTTTTTTTTTTTTTTTTTTTTTTTCCGGTACCGGGAATCGAACTCACGACCTTGCGCTTGCCAGGCAGGTGCTTTTGCCGCTGAGCTAAATCCCCAGCCCCTGAAAGCTAAATACTTGGATAGTGTCTGAACTTTCACAACAGGAAAGAACAGTTAGAAAATCCCTGAAATTGGACTGCACAAACCATTTCTTTATGAAGAATGATCTTATTAGTTAAGACTCTGCCTACAGCATCAGTATGCATATGGGAGACTGAATGACAAGTAAATTCCAGCTTTGAACTTTCTGAGATGGAATTCAGAAGTACTTATGAAAACCCACATGTAGTATCATTTGCCAGCAGAAATACTAAGAGGCATGAAAATTTAGTTTAAGTGTGTAATTGGATTTTTTTAAAAATAGCACCGTAAGTATCGTTGTAAGTAAGCCTCCCATTGTCGTGGACATTAAGCAGTCACTTAATAGAAAATAAATGACAGTTTGATTGGAAGAGCCAGATGCTCATATATTTGGCTTATATCCGTAGTTTATGTGTTAAACTCAGTATTAATTACATATGTTTTTGAAAATACAACATGGACATTCTCCCTGCTTTCCCATAGCTGAATCTTTTCACATGAGGTCTCACTGCTTTGAGGAAAGAAACCCAGAAATCTTTTTTTCAGCGTGTGTTCACACCTAACGAATTCTACTGGAAAGTTATTGTTCCTTACAACCAACAATAAACTTTTTAGATATTTCCATTTAAGGCAACTGTTAATTTTAAAGTGGACAGTTTGACATATTGACATATCGAAAATCCAAATGTGGGGGCTGGGGATTTAGCTCAGTGGCAAAGCGCCTGCCTGGCAAGCCCAACGTCGTGAGTTCAATTCCTGGTACCGGAAGAAAACCAAAAAAAGAAAATCCAAATGTGTTTTCCAATAAGCACTATAACTTAAGAATGTTTTTCTGTACCTGTCTTGTTGTATAACTAAGTTATTCCCCAAAGATTTACTCCAGAATTAGGAGAGACCAGATCAGAAACTACAGGACAGAGCCCAGGGCTTTTATGAACTTCCTGCATTTGTCGGTGAAGGGCAATTACCCTTGGTTCCGTGCCTTGGGTCCATGACAGTATAAGGACGCTTCCAAGGCGGTGTGACATGCAGTCAGCGGGAGGAGTTTTAGCATAGTTGTAAGGAATTAAAAACATTCCAAACAAATGTCTGTAACAAGCACATTTATGATGAGATAAAAATTACGTTTGAAAGATTTGTAGAGATTCTGAGTTCACCCAGAATGAAAACTTACTTTTATGTTTGTTGCATAACAGGTATGTAAAGTTGGAAGACAGAGACAGTTGGGTCTCTGTGAATTCAGTCACGTCAGAAATTAAACTTGTAAAAATTCCTGACTTTGAATCGAGATATGTCCAAAATGGTACATACACTGTAAAAATTCTGGCTATATCACAAGGTAAGTTATTAATATATTCTTTGATTCATTACATGTATTTAGATTGTATCTGCCAGCATCAGAAACTTTTGTTATGAATGTGTTTTTAAAAATCAGATCTCTCCAATGGACTACCTCCATCTCCTATTATTTCGTACACCTGGGACATACACAGGATAAGAAGTGTCCAAAGTGTTTCATATACTCTCCATGCTAAAATGCAAGGGAAATCGAAGTATCTTGTTGTTTGTAGTATGACCAGAACACACAGGTTTTTATTCTTACTTTTAAGATCATCCTAGCAAAACCATCACTGGCACTGTGCTTATCACAGTTGAAGACATCAATGACAATTGTCCCACACTGGTGAACCCCGTTCAGAATGTCTGTGAAGATGCACCATACGTGAACGTTACGGCGGAGGACCTCGATGGGTACCCCAACAGCTGGCCTTTCAGCTTCTCGGTCATTGATACACCGCCTGGAACAGCAGAAAAATGGAAAATAATACGCCAAGAAAGTAAGCAAAACCATTGGACTGCATTCAAATCATTTATAGATATTAAGCATGGTGGATATCTAAAGTCTTTATAATATAGGTTGTGTTTCTTCTTATAAATTATATTTCTAGTACAGTTTTTTAAGAGAGATTATGAAATGAAGTTCAGAACCCATGGGCATAGTACCTTAATATTTACATGCCTATAGAGAGGAAAATAGTGATCTAAAATGCTTTGAGGGTAGCTCTTGTCTCATAAGCTGAGGATGAGCAAGCCTTCCGGGGTGCAGCAATCATAGTAGGCACTATCTAAAACTCTTGAGGGATTGTAACAATAATTCCACTTAAAATAACATTTATTGAACACTTACTACGTGTATCAAGGCACTCTTTATGCATTATCATACTTAATCCTTACCCCTTAATATTATTCCCTGATGACAGGTGAGAAAAAGCTTAGCTCAACTAGAGTTATGGAATCTGTTCAGAGTTAAGCAATCTGCTCAAAGTCAGTATGTGATGGACAGCATGACAAGAGTTCTGTCTGATCCCCACACGCCAGTGGCCATGGACGCATCCGTACGTCCCTGTCTTGGAAGTGGCCCACCTGTTCATGTGAGCCTTTGTGTGACCTGTAGGATGGTCCTGAAGGGGGAAATGTCTCTCCAGATGACTTGTTTTAAACAGTCAGTGTTTACTTCAGAAAAGTTTCAAACACAGTCCTCAAGCTTAGTTTATAGGATTAATATGGTATTTTACATCTGGCAAATGTTTGCAATCATTTTAAGTGCTTTGAATAATGTTTGAGCCAACTGATAAGTTAAATACCTTCTACATTCCAAACTGCATTATAAATTTAGTATATTTGGCTTTCTTTTCTTTAAATATTTCAGTGGTCTGAATTGACAAGTAAATCTTCCCCATGTTCCTCATACTTCAATCTTCCCCATATTCCTCAATCTTCCCCATGTTCCTCATAAATTCCAATAAATTAGCTGGGCATGGTAGAACATCCCAGCACTCAGGAGGTAGAGGCTGAGGATTGCCACAGGTTCAAGGCTAGCTTAAATTACTTAGAGAGACACTGTCTCAGTCAATCAATCAATATATAAAATCGTCCAATAAATTAAACATATAAGTGTATTGAACCTAGAATTCTCTCAGCGTTAATACTCGACAAAAAAATAGTGACATTTCAGCCTACAGCTATAAATCTATGTCAGTATTAGAGTCACACATTTTAAGTTGGAGTTACAAAGCTGTCGTGCTAACAGGACTACTGCTTTTCCTAGACATTTTGTAAACATAGTAGAACAAATATTAATAAATTCCTGACAACACAAAAATATTTAAAAAGTATGCTTGGTTTAAGTATTCGTTTGTCTGATGGCAGGTCTTCTTGGTCTTATGTATGTCTTAATTACTTTTCTCGTTGCTGAGACAAAATAGCTGAGACAAAATAGCTGACCCCCAACGGTAAAGGAGGAAAGGGATTTTTTGGCTGTTTGTAGAGGTTTCAGTCCAAAGTTGGCGGGCTCCAAGGTGGGGCAGCTTGGCAGAGGGCATCGAAGAGGAGAAATAGTCCATGGCAAACAGGCAGGTGAGAGCCTCTTTCTGTCCCTTATATTTTATGCAGGCTACCCGCCCTAGGGTGGCTATAGCACTCACACCCTTAATTATAGCGAGAACTATGCCAAACCAATCAGTGGACTGATTGAGTAATCACACACCCTTGATCCCAGCACCGCACACTCTAGATCCAGCCACCTCTGAAAAACCCCACTATGACTGCTTGGGGCTTTGTGGGGGACATCTAGACATAAACCATAGCACTGTGCTCTCTTAAAGCAGTCAGCTATACTTACGGTTAGCCAAGATGGGCCTCCTTGGGAAGGAGGACAGTCACCGCTGTGATCAGTTGAGGTTCCTTAAGATCACATTTTCAGGGGGTGTGATCCCTGGGTCCAGGATCCAGGTGGTTCTTCATAATAGGCCTCAGAACCTGGGAAGTATTCAGCTTATAATCAGGGAGGTCTGGGATTCCCACCAGGATAAATGTTTGATGGAGTTTGCCTTTGTATGAGCAAGATATGTAAATGAATTTTGTATTGAATGTGCTGAAATCCCAAGACAGATTTACCTTCTCTAAGAAATATGTGGGGCTTAGAGTTTGCTGGACATTGTCTTAAACCCTTTTTAATACTGACAGCTCTAGAAGTTTGATATTATGATCATCAGATAGAAAGGGAAGGAGAGACACGGCAAGGCTCACCCATTCCCAGGACCACGGGTATTAAGAGCTGGAGTTGGGATTTGGCCCAGGCCGTTTGGCTCTCACCGCTCTCCTGGCCGGGTCTGTGCTGTGTTTCAGCTTGCGTGGTTCCTAGGTTGTGTGTTTTAGGAACATAAAACTCGGCAGGACCTGTGTTATCGAGTTGTAACCAGAAGTCCCTGAGATTGCTCTTCGTGTGGTTATGCAGTTGAGAGAAAGAGCGTTCTGTAACCCAGGCTTCCTTCATGGTTATGTAAGAAGGTGACCAGTCACCTCCAGGATAAGCAGTAGCTTCCATCTATTTTCATCTCCCGGGGAAAATGTTTAAATACAGAATATTCCATAGGCAAATAAGTCAGATGCTCTTGTACTCACTGCCTACAATGCAAAGAATACAAAACATTTATTGTATTGTCAAGCTTCTTCTCCCTAAAATGGTAGCTGATAGAGTAGAAATCCCCTTCTTCACCTCATTTACCCCCTCAGAGTCCATCATGCATTGATTTGATGAGTCTGAGGCGCTGGCCCACCTTATTATGCAGCAGCAGAGAAGAAAGTGTGGGTTATGGAATCCTCTTTCTCCACACCTCATAGTTGCAATCTTTTGGGCCAGGCGTGCCTGAGTTTGTACTCCTTAGATAAATCCCCCAGAGCCTAAGAGGTCATTTTAGATGCGTGTTTCTAACCACACAGACCATATTCCATAAAATTTAGAATTTTTTTTTTTAATTTTAAGGAGAGTAGTACATGGGAAACAAACAAAAAGTAAAACCTAGCAGCATACCAGTATCACGAACATAAACAAATCAAAGCAAGAACATTCAAAGTGATACAGGGTCTCAAAACAAATTAATACAAATCAACAGTGGTTGTTACATTGCATATGGCTATCCTCAATTACATTGCTCAGATTATCAGATGTAAGAATGAAAGACTGCTGAAACCATTAAAGAGAAGAAAATAATTCTTCAATAAAACATTAGAGATAATATAGAGTTTCACTAAACAAGATGGTAGGAGTGCACCATTATAATTCCATTGCATACTGTTACCTTCAAATCAGTTGCTCAGGCCACCAGACACAAGCATGCAAAGTCGATCAGAACATAAAAAATTGTGAGCATTAACTGTTCGTTTCAATACACCATCAGACAACAATAATATAGTCATCACAGCTATTCATATATATATTTATGTTTTGCCTTCCTTTTTTCTTCTTTCCCTCATCCCAGTCATTCCTTCCTTTGAGCAGTTTCTTTCCTTTCCTATCATCTATTTTATGTTTTGAGTTTTACCTAGTCTTTCAGGTTCCTACAGCAAGGAGACAATACGATGTTTACACATGTGGGTCTGATTTATTTCACTTAGGAGTACGGTCTCTAGTTGCATCCATTTACCTACAAAAGCCTCAAGTTTATCTTTTTTAATAGCTGAGTAATACTCTATTGTATAAAAATACCACAGCTTTTTTATCCATTCCTCAGTGGATGGGCATCTGGATTGTTTCCAAGATTTAGCGATAACAAATTGTGCTGCTATAAACATGGGTGCACATATATCACTGTGGTATGATGTCTTTAATCTTTCTGGGAAAATACCCAGAAGGGGTGTAGCTGGGTTAAATGGGACTTCCAATCCTAGTTTTGTGAGGAATCTCCAAACTGATTTCCACAGTGGTTTCACCAATCTACACTCCCACGAGCAGTGGAGTAAGGTTCCTTTTTCCCCATATCCTCTCCAACACTTGTTATTGGTTGATTTCTTGATGATAGCCATTCTTTCTGGGGTGAGATGGAATCTCAGTGTTGTTTTAATTTGCATTTCTCGAATGACTAATGATGTTGAGCATAAAATTAGAATTTAAAATGAGAAACTATTTCTTACTTCATAAGAAACAATCAGCTGGGCGTGGTGGTGCACACTTGTAAACCCAGCACTCAGGAGGCTGAGGCAGAAGGATCAAAGGAGTTCAAGGCCAGCCTGAACTGCATAGTGAGACCCTATCTCAAAAACCCAAATAAATAAATAAATAAAGCAACCAAAAATAACACATCATGCAGTTCTTACACTTGATCTTAGCCAAAAGGCTGAGAAGCAATAATCATGTAGTTTTTTTGTCATTGCCTTGCAAGTAAGTTTTCTTTTTTAGTACAGGGTCTAGTTAACTTGCTAAATTACCCAGCCTGGGCTTAAACTTTCTGTCCTCCACTCTCAGCCTTCCAGAGTGCTGAAATCACAGGTATTTTCAACCACATCCAGCCAGTAAATCATTTTAATAAGTAGTCTACATATAGAAAAGTTTTACACTATTCTAACAAATCATTATTTTTACTCATGTGAAAACTAGTCATTTTTGCTGGGCATTTTGGCACATGCCAATAATCCCAGCACCTGGGAGGCTGAGGCAGGCGTATCACTGTGAGTTTAAAACCATCCTGGGCTACCTAGTGAGTTCAAGGCTAGCCTGAACTACATAGCAAGACCCTGTCTCAAGAAAAGAAAACAGATGAGATCATTCACAGAACACTTCCTGTGTCATCTTCTTGCCAATATAACGTATCATCTGAATCCAGTGATGAGGAAGCAATCAGACAAATTCAAACCATGGAACAAACTTTGAAATAAGTGGCTTTGAAATATGTGAAGGTCTTGAAATAAGAGCGAGTGGGAATTCCAGATAAGTAGAGACTAAAGTGATAAATTACAAGAAATATGTGGTCCTTGGCTGGATCTAGGGTCAAAAGAGAAGACAGACACCTCCAGGACATTATGGAAGGACATTGTGGCAATTGAAATGTTGGCCAGTGAGTTATATACTTGGAGGTAGTTTTATACCAATCACATATTTTTCACTGATGTCCTGTCATCTTAGAAAGTCTGTGCTGAAGAATGTCCTGCTATCTGTAACTTACTACCCAATAGTTCAGACAGAAAGTTTTCTCCCAGTGATGCACGTATAGGGAGAATGGATCATTGCAAAATGTGAACCATTAGGGAAGACTGTGTCAGCATCCACTGTAATATTCTTTCAAGCTCCTTATAGATTTGAAGCTTTCAGAATTTTTAGTACATCTCATTGGGACAACAAGGAAAGAACTAGAAAAACAAGATTAGCCATTCCTGAAAATTATTAAGACTGGGAACGGACACCACAGGGGTTACGCTGTTCTCTCGCTTATAGCCTAGGTTTGAAAACTGCTTAATACTATGTGTTTATTTAACAAATGGTAAAATAAGGGCCAGGGATGAACCTCAGTAGTACTGCTTGTCTAGGCCCTGGACTTGATCCCCGAGAAAAAAAAAAGAAGAAATGGTAAGGCGAAAGTCATGTTCCTGCTGTGTAGAACAGTTCCCAGCACTTGGGAGACCACACATATTAGCTAAAATTAATCATTGTGAAAATGTCCAAATCATATCCTTCGCTTTTTAAGCTGCACAGTTGAAGTCTGACAAATTCCAACAAGTGCATTTCGTAAACCCCGTAAGAAGTAAAAGAAAAGCAGGCTTCCAGCTGGAGCCGTGTCAAGAACTTTCTAGAATCTGGCCTCTCCCTTTCCTTGGGAGGCACGCGTCCTTCCTTCCTTCCCTCTCCTGTCCTGCAGGTACCAGTGTGCTGCTGCAGCAGAGTGAACCCAAGCTCGGGAGAAGCGAAGTTCCGCTCCTGATTTCGGACAACCAGGGCTTCAGCTGCCCGGAGAAGCAGGCCCTGCAGCTGACGGTGTGCGAGTGTCTGCACGGCAGCGGCTGTGTGGGTGCGCGGCACGACTCCCACGTGGGCCTGGGGCCCGCGGCGGTGGCACTCATGATCTTGGCCCTTCTGCTCTTGCTCCGTAAGTCTCCAAAGCTGCTCTTTAGCTCCCTTAGGAATTTGAGTGCACCCCTGGAAAGTTTCTTACTAGATCAGTCATTGGTTTCCTTGTGGTTATTTTTGAACACTTTTGAGGAGGAATAAGAAAAGACAGTTGCTGGTAATTGACAAGTTTACCGAATCCTGTTACAGGGCTTTCTTGGTCACTTCCCATCACTGGGACAAAATACTCAACACTCACGTCTTAAGGAAGGAGAGGTTTATTTTGGCGCCTGTACTCGATCCAAGGTCAGCTAGCTCCAAGGCAATAACGGCTCAGGGGAGATGCTGACGGAAGCAAGCTGGGTATCCTCTGGCAGCCAGAAAGCAGAGCGAGAAGGCAGGAACCAGGGCGGGGGGACACACCATCCCAGCCCTACCCCCGTAAGCTTCTTTCAGCAGCACAGGCAGCTATGAGCCATCGGTGGATTCATCTGCTGATGGGCATGGTGTCCCTGGGAGCCAGTTACCTCCCAAAAGTCCCCCTTCGGAACACAAAAGGCTTTTGGGGGGACATTCTAACTCTAAACCATAACAAGCACTCTTATCAGAATTTTATGTTGGAAAAATGTATTCTGATTTTTTAAAAACCAAGGTCATGCATGCTATCCAAGCTCCTTTCGCCATAAGCATTGCGGTGTCCTAGGTAGAATGCTGTCTGGTCATCCCTGCACTTTTCCAAGCACCCACAACAGTGCCCTGCACTTAGTAGGTCCTCAGAAATGACTTGCCGCATGAATTTGGAACATGGATACAAGGTGGTTTTACAAACCAGTTTATTCAGTTGGTCTCCACTTTGCACACTGAAATTGTCAGAGCTCTGCCTCGCTGACCCCTGCACGGCCAGCTTCTACATCCATCTGCACCAGCAGCAGCCAGGCTTTCTGAGCGCTTCTGTCCTAAGCCTGTCCTGCCTGTCCTGCCTGCCCTCCAAAGACCAGGATTTCCTCTCACAAAATAATAAAAGTCTGCAACTGGGGTCATGTGGAATTCACTCCACTTGACCCTGAACCTGGGCAGAGCTCCTTCTTGCAGACAGTGTGGACTATCTCAGTGAGGAGCCAGTGAAAGCCATTAGCAGGTTTCCAGGGGAACCCAGCACTGAGCAGCTTACAGCGCATCTGCATGCCACTGCCTGCGTGTCATAGGTCGTTACAGATAGAGACACCTAAGAGAAAAAGGCCTGTCTCAGCTTAGCATTTTTGTAGGTAGGTCCTGGAGCCAGGACTGTAGCTTTTCCCCGGGGAATCCTTCCCTCCCTTTTCATCTCAGATTCCCTGAAGCCTAATGTGACTCTTGCCATATGACAGACAATTCGATGAATGTTCATTGAATATGATGAAATCGTGGAGTCGCCACTGGTTGCCCTCAGACTCTGCATTAATCCAGTGACTGTGCAGACTCGTGTGGAAATAGTACTCAGATAATTCCAAAGTTAATTGCAACCCCAGAGAGTCATGCCTTGTGCAAAATTTCATTCTAAGGAAAGCATTTGGGGGCTGGGGATTTAGCTCAGCGGCAAAAGCACCTGCCTGGCAAGTGTAAGGTCGTGAGTTTGGTTCCCGGTACCGGAGAAAAACCAAAAAAAAAAAAAAAAAAAAAAAAAAAAAGAAAGCATTTTAAGAGCTTCGGTGTTCTAGGATATTTGAATATATTAATTTTTTTTCTCTTAAGAGGTTTTGATCTTTGTAAATGGATAGTGAATTTACAAAAAAAAACTTTAGGAAAGTAGTTTCTAAAAATTTAATCTTTACATTGATTTGGCTAATTGCATATTATCGAGTGCATTCTTAATATTCCACTCATTGCCATAGGTGGTCTCAGCGTGAGGAACAGGGCCTTGAAGCCTGTCAGTCTCTCTCTGTCCTCAGGCTGTGGTATAACATCCAAAACAAGCTTGGACAGGTTGGGAGAGGGAAAAGAAAAACACTGAAAAAAGGGATGTGCAAATTCCAGTTACACAGCTCACAGGCAGAAATGCGTCAGGGTTGACCTTCTCTGCACTCACTTCTGCTTCTGTGTAGTTGTGCCGCTTCTGCTGCTGCTGTGTCATTGTGGAGAGGGCGCCAAAGGCTTCACCCCCATCCCCGGCACCATAGAGATGCTGCATCCTTGGAACAATGAAGGGGCGCCACCTGAGGACAAGGTCAGTTCGTCGGATGACCTGTGCGACTTGTCATCTTTGGTCTGAAGGGGAGCATAGGAAGTGTTTCTAATATCTTTGATCATGAGAGTAATATGGTAATGTTGCGAGATCCGTATTTGATGTTCATTCCCATTTCCTGCTGTACAACTCCAAGAGTCCTTGGAAACTTGGAAGTGATAGTTTCTTGACATCTGAAAGGAGGAGGGGCAGGTGGTCTGGGGGACTGAGCCCTCTCCATGTGAGATCTGCCACCATCTCCAGGTAGACGATGTCAACATTAAATAGACTTAGGGGGTCCTCACTGGAGTGTGCTGCGGAATTGATTGCTTGTTTGCTGATGGAGAGAAATCTTACAAGAAACACTTGTGAGGTCACAGAAGGCCGTATTGATCATCGTATTGTGAGAGCAGAGCAAAGGCAGCTTGTTTTCCCAACAGTAGTCATACGGATTTCACACACAGGCTTTTGGGAAGCAAAGGCTTCTAACAGCAACACGTTTTGTGTTGATTGCCAGAGCAGGGATGAGGTGGTCGTACTGCATTGTGATATGTGGTGTGTTAATGAAAATGTAACCGTGGTTGGGGAGGGACCCGGAGAATGTAGAGCAGGGGTCAGAGACAGAGTATTACCTAGCTTTCCAATTGCTGGGAAACAATACCTGACACATGCAATTTAAAGAAGGAAAGATTTAATTTAGCTCACGGTTTCAGGAAATTCAGTCCATGGTCCAGTGACTGCAGGGCAGGAACATCATGGTGAAGGAAATAGTGAAGCAAAGCTTCACTATTTATAGCTTCACTTTATTTATAGTGGCCAGGAAGCAGGGGAATGGGACAGTACCAGAGAGGAAGGTTCAGGGGACCAGATACAGTACCCAAGGTCGCATTTCCATGACCCACCCAGACACACCCAGAAGTGTGCTCCACCAGACCCCTTGGTGTCTCCCAAGCCGTTCAGGTTGATACAGTCTAGTGTAACCACCACAGACACAAAGCTGTACAATCTAGGATAGAAATTCTCATCCCAATATCAAATGGCAAATTTAATATTCACAAATCACAACCAGAAAGTGCTCTGTTTCTGTTCCCCTCCACACATGTAGCTGACAGAAGCAAGCTTCCAGGTCCATGACAAAATACTGTGAGATCCCCTTACCTAGTTAACGTTGACTCTCTCCTGTCTCTGTTGAATCTTCACGCTGGATCTCGCCTCTTTATCTGCTGTGTGTGCTGGTCCTAATAGGATGTGATTCAGCATCAAGTGTCAGAGACTCAAAGGAAGAGTGGCTTAAACGCAGACGTGTGTGGTCCAGGATCAGTGTAGGGATCCCTCCCGGCCCGGGCTCCTCCTGCCTTGTTGCTCCTCCCTTGATGAGTTTCAGTCCCATGCTGTCCTCGTATTCCAGACACTCACCTACTGCCTTCACATTCAAACTATTAGATGGGGGGAGAGTGAAGAACCACTTCGTGAACACATTTTCCGCAAGTTGCATACACCATTTCTACTTGATTCACTGGGGCTTGAACCCAGGGCCATTGCACTGAACTGCATTCCCATCTCTCCCGCCCTCCCTTTTTGAGGCAGGATCTCTGTAGGTTGTCCAAGTTGAGCTCAAATTTACAACTCTCCTGCCTCAGCCTCCCAGAGTACTGGGATTATAGGTGTGCACCATCACCCTTGCCTACAGTCCTTATTTTGAATGGCCATGTGTCCAGCTGAAAATAAAATGAAGGATTTTTTTAACCACAGCAGAAGGCATGAAACCCTAGAGGAATGTTAAATGCTGTTGGCTCCAGTGGAGTAAATGAGCTGAGACCATAGAGGAAGTTTGGTTTCTGTTTCTGGCTTATACTGAGCTCTAAAAGAAGGCAAAGTGAAGATCTTTACAAGACTCATAGAAGCTATTCAACCCCAAATACCTCTGCTGATTGCCTCTGGCGAAAAACTTCTTCTATCTTATGCCCTCTTAGCTCCAGTCCTTCCAACACCTGCGCTGACCCTCCGTCCTGACCGCGGTGTCCTCTGCCTTTGCACACAGGTGGTACCATCGCTGCTGGCCGTGGATCACGCGGAGAATCTAGCAGTAAGAAACGGAGTGGGAGGTGCGATAACCAAGGAGGCCACCATGAAAGGAGGCAGCTCTGCTTCCTTTTCCAAAGTGCAGCATGACCTGAACGAAATGGATGGGAGATGGGAAGAACACAGCAGCCTCCTCTCCAGCAGGGCCGCTCACATGACCGGGACAACAGGAGCCGAGACTGCGCGGACCGTAAGAGCTGTGGGGGCTTCCCGAGAGGCTGCCGCAGCCCGAGCCACTGCTGCTGGTGCGGTCAGCGAGGAGTTCTTAAGGAATTATTTCACTGATGTAAGGCTTGGTTTTTACGTAGGGGGGAGGAGGGTATGGATATGGGAATGTGGTGTTATTGGGTTAAATAGCTTGTGAAACCTCTGCCCCTTTTTACAATCCCATGTCATTACTCAGAGCAAATCGCGCGGCTGTGTGTGATGTCAGTATGTCAGAAAGTGCAAGCCTGGCAGGCAAGGGCAGAGGGTACATGGCCTAAAATTCACTGAGGGGGAATAGTCCTCAGTCCATTTAAATTTTGCATACACTGATGATGATAAACAGATAGCTTTGCCTTCCGTATGAGGGCCCCCTCTTAGGGGAGTCCATGAAAAATGATGAGAACAGTTACAGGAAACACAATCCGATGCAAGAAGGAAGCACATACTTGGAATTAACAGTTCATAGCAGGACTAAAATAGACACAATAGATTTCAGAATATATTTCATTAGCAGGAATAATCAGATATATTTACTGCGTAATGGAAGATGGATCAGTTCATCTGGAGATGTAACACTCCTAAATATGTCAGTACCTACTAACAGAAATCAATAAACCTGAAGCAAAAATTGACAGAACTAAAAGAGAACTAGACAAGTCCAAAGTGACAGTTGGAAAGTTCAACCTCTTCTGTCAGTAATTCAAAGAAAAGCAGAAAATCAGCAGAGATACAGAAAATATAACTGGCAACTGACTGGATCCGCTTGTCATTAATACATTTCATGCCATAAAAGCAAAATACACATTCTCTTTGATACAGGCTATATTCTGAGATATAAGTTTAAATACATTTAGTAGGATTTCAGTTGTACAAGGTAATCTGGCAATAAGAAATTAAACCCAAAATCAATAATAAAGTGGTATGTAAAATATAATCAAATAACCACCATACGTTTCACATTCTAAATCATGCATGAGTAAAAGAAAAAAAAGAACAATTAGTACACAGTTTGAACTGACTGAAAATTAAACCATACTTTATCAAAATTTGTGAGGCACTGCTGAAGTAATATTTTGGGGAGAACTTTTACAAAAAATAATTATATTAACAGATGGGCTTCAGATCAATAACCTAAGTGTCCACCTAAGTTATTAAACATTAAACAAAAGGAGGAAGCCATGAAACCAAAAGCTGTTTAAAGAGATTAATAAAATGGATAAACCTCTTAGCCAATCTAAACAGGTTGTAAAGGAAGTAGACACAAATTATCGGTATCAGAAATAAATAAAGAGAAATGAATTACAGGTCTTGGAGGCATAGTACAGTAATCAGAAAAAAGAAATGCAAGACTGGTTGTCTTTCTTAAGAGTAAGTCTCCCGTGTCCCCAGAGATGGTGGGAGTGTTAGAGGTCTCAAGGGCCCTTGACAGGAGCAAGAGGATTTATTTCCACCCGTCTCTTCGAAGTTTGCAAATTACTGGTGTATTCGTTCCCTTTCCACCTCCTTCTTTCATGAGATGCCTTTTGCTGAGTGTCAGCCTGATGGTGTCATCCGGGAGGGCTGCTGTCTCTCCCTCTGCAGGCTCACTGCCAGCTCAGGTCTGGTCCCGGCTGGTATTGCTTGGATTTGCCTCCTCTTCTGCTCTAAACCTGCTTAAGTCAGTCTTACATGTGTAATAACTGTCTATTTGGAAAAATTGCACCGTGATTAGGAAATTTGCTAGTAGACATTTTGAACTCTTGTGTAGTCTTTACCCAGATTTTACCAATTACCATTTTTTTCACATTCCCTATTTTTCCTCTCTCTCTCACTCTCTCACTCTCTCTCACTCTCTCACTCTCTCTCTCTCTCACACACACACACACACACAATTACTGTAGTACAGTTAACAAATTCAGAAACTTAAAGTTGGCACAATCTATATTTTGCTTTATCCAATTACTGCAAAAATGTCTTTCATAGCAGCTGTTTTTTCCTGTCCAACACCCAGTCCACAATCCTGCATTCCATGTACTTGTCGTGACATGTCCTCTTTGCCCTAAACCGTTCCCTCTGCCTTTCTTTGTTTTTTATCATTTTAATATTTTTTAAGAATACACAGGAGCCGGGATGTACAATGTTTCAATTTGTCTTCCTCCGATTTGTTGTACTTGGGCTCAGGTTTTGCATTTTAAAGAGCAATACAGAGTCCTGGTTTTTTTTTCAGTGAATTTGTATTACTAATTATTCGCCTCTTTTTATCTCCACTGTAGAAGGCGGCCTCCTACACCGAGGAAGACGACATTCACATGGCCCGAGACTGCCTTCTGGTTTACTCCCAGGAAGAAGCAGAATCTCTTCACGGGTCGGTTGGCTGCTGCAGCTTTATTGAAGGAGAGCTGGACGACCGATTCTTAGATGATTTGGGACTTAAATTCAAGACACTAGCTGAGGTTTGCTTGGGTCAAAAAATAGATGTGGATTCGGAAATAGAGCAGAGGCGAAAGCCTGTCAAAGAAACAAAGCTGAACACAGCTGCACGGTCACTCTATGAGCAAGCCACAGTTAATGCAGAGAATGCCTACTCCTCTGACAGCAGCTTTCCAGTTCCCAAACCTTTGCATGGAGCCAGTGCAGAGGTGGTCACTCAGGAAGTAGTCACCGAGACATCGGTATCTTCCAGGCAGGGTCAGAAGGCGGCACCGCCTCCTCCTGACCCACGGGCTTCCAGTAATATCATAATGACAGAAACGTCCTACACCACAGGCTCTGCTGTACCCCCGAGCACTGTGATCCTGGGTCCCAGCCAGCCCCAGAGCCTTATCGTGACAGAGAGGGTGTATGCGCCGGCTTCCACCTTGGTAGATCAGCACTACGCTGGGGAGGGTAATGTCGTGGTCACCGAAAGAGTACTCCAGCCTAACGGGGGCGTGCCTCATCCTCTGCAAGGCACACAGCATCTGCAAGAGGCGCAGTACGTGATGGTGAGGGAAAGAGAAAGCGTCCTTGCACCCAGCTCCAGCGGGCAGCCTGTCCTGGCCATGCCCAGTGTGGCAGTAGGACAGAACGTGACAGTGACGGAAAGGGTGCTGGCCCCTGCTACTTCTCTGGAATCCAGATACCAGAATGCCTCCGAAGCCTCAGAGAAGGCTGGAAAGGCCACGGTTTCTGGGGCTGGAGTCCCTGGCACGCTGCCATATTCTGGTTTGGAAGGATCTGGCCATTCAAATTCTACCATTACCACATCCTCCACCAGGGTCACCAAGCACAGTACCGTGCAGCACTCTTACGCCTAAGCGGCAGCCAGCCACAGACATACCCAGAGTCTAACTAGCAGTGACTGCAGGCGCGTTTTCCATCTGCCCGGCTCTTCACGAGCCTCCCAGACATGCAGAGGTGCATATGCCTTGAGCTTAAATGTTCTCAGTCACCGATACTCTAAGGTCCGCACTTCCTGCTGCTGGGAGTGTATTTCAGAAACGCCTCATGTATCACAGTGGGCATACTGATGATACTGTTTAGTGCCTTTTAGTGAGCTGTGCAAACAATATTCACAGCAGAATAGAATAAGTCTGTCTTCTGAGAATTTACCAAATAAACACACCACCGTGCAGGAGAAAACCTGGGGATATGATTGGGTCTCTTTGTGAATTGTGTTAATATTTCACAGTGACGTTCTATATTTTGTACATTACTGCACCTAGCAGATTGTCAACAGCTCCTTTATCCAAAGATCTACCTACAGTCTGGGGTACCAGTTTTGTTGTTGGTTTTCTTCAAGACTGGACCTTTTTAATTTGTGTAAAGTTGATTAAACTTTTGAGTGCTGGGATAGTAAGAACATACATGTTTCTGTGCGTGTGACGTGTACATAATGGCATACGCTTTTAAAAATGCCATTGTGTTTTCTTGTCCGTATCATGAAAATTTTGAATACTTCAAATTTAACTGAATAATCCCACACAAAATTTGTAAATATAATACAGTTCTACTTACAATGGTGATATCCACAGGAGAATAGAAACCTCAGGCTGTTCTTAATAGCTACAACTTAGTACAGCTAAATTCACCAGCCATGTTCTTCTCTATGGTGGAACGATACCTGTTTCACTGCTTTATATGCTCAGTGACTCACAGAGCTGCTAAAGAAATATTTGTGGAATTAAACTGAATTTTACAAACCATTATGTACAATTGCCAAAAAAATCAAAACACTATTTTTCTATAATTATGAGTTTCAAATGATGATTTTTTTTTTTTTTTCAAATGATGATTTTACTTTGATGTCTCGAAGGCTTTGACTAGCTGGTCGTGACTTAGTACATACATAGTAAATATCATATAAACCTAAAATATTTGACCTGATTTTACACAGTGTCCTTGCCTTGTTTTTTAAAAAGTTACATGGCCAGGTATGGTGGGGTACAGCTGTAATGCCAGCATTTGGGAAGCTAAGGCCAGAGGATCGCTGTGAGTTCAAGCCCAGCTTGGGTTACACATAGTGAGTTCAAGGCCAGTCTGAACTACATAGTGAGACCCTGTCTCAAAAAACCCCCTAAAAAATTGAAAATAAAAATGTAAAAATCATGTAGGTTGTTTGACTCCTGAATAAGATTGTATTTTATTATGGCTAGAAACAGTAATGTTTTAAAATATGTATGGATATCAGGAATTAATAGAAGTATTTACAACCACAGAATAATTTTCATAATTTTTAAATACTATCTAATTTCTTGTTAAGAGATTTGCTGAGGAATTGAAACTTTAAAATTATACTTTAGTAGACTTTTTAAAATATCGTTTACTTGAAGTGTGTTATAGAAGAACTTACCCAGCACTGGTCACTGACTGAAATGTAAGGGCAAATATTTTTAGACATCATAAGCTGTGGTTAAGATGAAGGTCACTCTTCTTCCATGATCTTGAGTTGTTTACACTCTTTTTAGTGATTTTTGTGAGGTTTTTTTTTTATTATTGTCTTACATATTTTGCCAAGTATGCAGCAGGCGTATCTCTCTACAGCGTGAAAGTGTACATATGATCTGTGTGCTCAGAACGAACGAAACATGGTCCAGGCTAAAAACCCTAAGCCGTTTCTCACATGTTTAGATGATTTCTTTGTTTCTGAAGCAGTGACTTGCATTAGTTTTTCCATTTGTTTCTCGGGAGATTGTATTTGTGTATTTTAATAAAAGCAATTCCATCTTCACGTCTTCTTGGAATGATGCCATCTGCTTTGTTTTCTTGTTGGCCAATCACATTTTACAAGGAATACAACTAGATTGCTAGGGAAGAGTGCACCCTAAAGGCAAGTTTGTTATTCTTGTTGTTTTACTGTGTTAAGTAGATCTGCAGATAGCCAGCCACTGTGGAAGAGCATTGTTTCTCTTCCCAAGTAGGGTACAATATAAGATGGCCTAATTAAATATGAATTTCATATCTATAATAGGTAATTTTCATTGTATATCCAGTAGTAAAGAAAAGAAAGTACAGATGCTTCTCACTTTATGATGGAGTTACATCCACATAAACCAATCATTAATTGAAAATATCATAAATCAAAGATGCATTAAGCACTCCCAGCTTAGCAAGCATCCTAGGAGTTTCTTGTGAACTCATATTGCTTTCATACCATGGTACTGTTGAAAGTTAGGGACCATCTGTTGCAGTTGTTTACCCGAACTTTGAGTTAACTGGGTACCTTGTATATCTGTTAGCCAGACCTGGCAGCCTAGTTCCTAAGGGTCTCAAGATCACTGTCCAGAAAGTAACTCCAGAGGAGCCTGTTGCATTTGGCTGGAGAAAGCTCACACATCTGAGCCAAAGAAATGAAATTCTACAGTGTTCAAGAGGCTGCTGTAGTTGTTTGTCACAGTTTACCCTTCTACCCTCCCAGGCTTTCAGCTGGAGCTCAGTGACAAAACACAGATTAATGGGAGGAAGTCTCTTGATGTGTGCATCTCAGATATGCAGGGGAAAAACAGAGGTGGTTAAGACTTAGGTTTATATGGTTTACAGCAAATCTATAAATAAATTTAACCGTTTAATTGAACAACAACTCAAGAAATGGGGCTGTCCTGGAGCCAGAAGAGGTTCAGAGAATTCTGCTTTGCAAAATAGACAGGCAGGATTTAAAGGCAAAATGAGAGCGAGCTATAAAAACAGCTTTTGGTTACAGCTCAGCATTTTCCTTACTTGAACACAGTATAATCAGGCAGTAACCTGTGATTGGCTGAAACGAAGCTGCTGTGCTGTGAGTGCCTGAGACTCAGCTATTTGTTGTTTAAAATAAATAAATTATATATATTATATATATATTATATACATACACACACACACACACACACACACACACACCCTCTTAAATTAGGCTTTCAGTTTACTTACCTCCCAAGCTAGGTGGCTGTGGGTTATGTAGGCACTCAGGATATAGAGGCAGCCTCAAGTCAAGTTTAGCATTATACACTCAACTTGAGCTAAACAAAAAAAGAGGGTATGGGCTTGGCAGAGAAAGTTATAAAAAGACAATTAGGAAAAGTATGGTAAATATGAGGTTTGAGGACTGGTTTAAGTTAGTGCCTTGACAAGTTGTGATTTAAGAAGGAGCTGCCTTTAAAATGACATTTTCCTTCCATAAATTTCCCTTACAAAAGGAAAACATTCTGTCTTCCCAGCTTTGCCTGTGTCTGCAGTTTCACCAAATAATCACCCGAAAGTGATTACCAATCTAAAACGAAAAAATTGCAGACAAACTTTTAAAAAACTGAACAAGCCAAACTTGGTAGTGAACGCCTATAATCCTAGCACACAGGAGGCTGAGGCAGGAGTATCAGTGCAAGTTCAAGACAAGCCTGCATTACAAAGCAATAACCTGTCTCAAACAAAAACTGACAAGCCTTTCACCAGCTTTATAACCAGGACTCTTTGAAGGACCTGGGCCACGTCTTTGAAAGCCAAACACTAAAGCAGACAGCAGCCTTACCTCCCCTTCCAAAGGTGTGGAGCTCCAAACTGGAACTAGCTACTTGTCATAGAGATTGTCTTGGTTACTTTTCTCTCTTTGCTAAGACAAAATACCCAACACCCAAAATGAAGGAAGGAAAGGTTTATTTGGCTCACAGTTTGTGGACGTTTCAGTCGATACTTGGCTGGCTCCGAGGCAGAAGATAACAAAGCAACAAGAGCAAGGGGGGGGGGGATGGCAGCCGAACAGCAAATAGCCAGAGCAAACGGCAGAAGAATGGCGGCAAGCAGCTTCTTTTCCTGCCTTACTTTGTAAACAGGCTACCCCCACCTAAGGGGCGTGTAGCTCTCACATAATCTCCATGCCCTCCTCTTCCACAGGCTCAGGATGTATACAAAGTAAGCACCCTGGCTTCCTGCTGAGTCATTTAGCCAAACCTCTAGATTCCCCAAGTTGACAATGTATCAACCATAACAGAGATCAAAAAAGTTTTTTCTTTTTCTTAACTTTCTTTAAAAAAAAAATGTTATTTAAAGGGAAAAAACAAAATTTCAAAACAAGATAATAGAGTAACAATGGTTAATACATTGCATATGTTTTCTTTAGTTAGAGTACAAGATAAAGGCATTTAATTGTCCAAGCAATATTAGCACAAAGCCTTGTTTTCGATGAACTAAAAGAAATTAGTACTATAACTATCTTGTATATGTATATATATGTTTTTTCCTTTTCCTTTCCTTCTTTTTTCCTTTCTCCCATCCCAGTTTCTCTTTCCTTTTGAACAATTTCTTCCCATTTTACAATATCTATTGTACATTTTGGATCTTATTTACTCTTTCAGCTTCTCGTACTAGGGAGACAATATGATGTTTACACATGTGAGTCTGCTTTACTTCACTTATGAGTATGGTCTCAAGTTGCATCCATTTACCTATAAAAGTCTCAAGTTTATCCTTCTTTATGGTAGAAGAAATATCCTTCTATGGGGTAGAACTTTATGGTAGAAGAAATACCTTCTATGGGGTAGAACTCCATTGTATAAAAAGACCATATCTTTTTATCAATTTCTTGATTGATGGGCATTTGGGTTGTTTCCAAGATCTAGCTTTAAAAATTTTGCTGCACAATTGGGTGCACATATGTCACTATGGTACAATGTTTTTAATTCTTCTGGAAAGATACCCAGAAGGGGAATAGCTGGATCAAGTGGGATCTCCAATCTTATATTTCTGAGGACTCGCCACACTGATTTCCACAGTGGTTGCACCAGGCTACACTCCCAGCAACAGTGGAGAAGGTTCCTTTTTCCCCCCAGCCCCTCCAGCATTTGTTATTGGTTGATTTCTTGATGATGGCTATTCTTTCTGAGGTGAGATGGAATCTCAATGTTGTTTTAATTTGCAACTCTTGAATGACCAGGAATGTTAAACTGTTTTTTTTCTTCATATATTTATCTGCCATTTCTCCTTCTTCATCTGAGAAGTTTCTGTTCATTTCAGGTGCCCATTTTTGGTTTTAAATTTGAGGCCTTTAAATTTGAGGGATCTGATTTTCTTGAGTTGTTTATATATCTTAGATATTAGTCCCTTGTCTGAAGAACAGCTGGCAAACATTTTTTCCCACATTGTAGGTTGTCTCTTCACTCTGTTGGTGGTTTCTCTTCCTTTGCAAAGGCTTTTTAATAAGATGAGATTCCAATTGTTGATTCTTTGTGATAGTTCCTGTGTGATCAGGATTTTATTCATAAAGTCTGCCTACACCAATGTCTTCAAGACTTTTACCTATTCTATTTCCAGCAGATTTAATGTTTCTGTTTCAGTATTTAGATCTTTGATCCATTTCAAATTTAGAAGGAAGTACAACTGGAAAGGAAGAACTTAAACTATCATTATTTGCAGATGACATGATACTATACATAGAAGACCCCAAAAAATCACTAAAACACTGTTAGATTTAATAAACAAATTCAGTAGCATAGCTGGATACAAAGTCAGCACTCAAAACTCAATAACCTTCCTGTGCACAAATAACAAACTTACTGAGAGAGAAGTTAAGGAAACAACACCTTTCACAGTAATATCCACAAAATTAAATACTGTTATGGTTGAAACATTGTGTCAACTTGGGGAGTCTAGAGGTTTGGCTAAGTAACTCAGCAGGAAGCCAGGATAATTACTTTGTATACATCCTGAGCCTGTGGAAGAGGAGGGCATGGAGACTGTGTGAGAGCTACACGCCCCTTAGGTGGGGGTAGCCTGTTTTACAAAGTAAAGCAGAGAAAGAAGCTGCTTGCTGCCATTCCTCCAGTTTGCTCTGGCTGCTTTGCTGTTCGGCTGC